CGGCGTCTCTGAGTGCGCCAAGCTTGAGGACAGAGGAGTCCATCAGACAGAACTCCTCCTGGCCCAGAAAATGTAGGTGAGGCAGGAGGGTGGGGTTCAACACTCTCAGTTACCATGATCCCTAAGTCACCCGATATTGGCCTCGGAGTACCAAGGTGCCTCCTCGGGGAGATTCTTCCCCCAGAGTTTCCCACTTGGCACTAACTTTCAGCCCCAGCTGAAGTTTCCCAGATGGATTTCTAGCCGTGGAAATGGAGGTTTCTAATGGAAATCCCTGAAGCCCTTTACTTAGAGCTGCTCTGGTGGGCACCACTCTAATTATTCAATTGCCTAATTCCATTTATCTTTCATGATCCATTATGCACCCCTGACAGGCTGCGTCTTCCTTAGCAGATACATAACCTAGCCTAATGGACTCTGGGTGAAGCCAACTACATAGACTAAGGGATTTTGCTGGTACCTAATTCTCCTAAACTATTATTTTATAAATGAACAAGGCAGACAGACACATTTTCTGCTTTAAGATAAATATTTTATGAATTGCCCCTCTGATACATTACCTTATTAGTACATTATCCTTATCCCTCCCCGAGCTTGGAAGAGCCTGGGCATACACTCAGGAGTACATTTGGGTGATTTTATTGAGCAGGATGCTTTTATAATCTGTTTGTATCTGGGGGCGGAGGGAGTAAGAAATAATTTTGTCTCATAAAAAGGAAAAGTTCTTTAAATGTTGATTTGCTGCTTTAGTGTGAAACTCTTTATCCAAGGACTTTTTGCTTAACCAAAGTGTATAGAGTCTACTTTAAAAAAAAAAAATAGTCTTTTTTCCTTCCTGAGCACTCAGGACCACCCAATAGTCAGAAGCGTTTACACAATTCCAGGAGAGAGATTCTTCCTTATTTTGAGAACAAAAAGCACCATAAAAATGTCAATCTTTCTTTTTGAATTTCACTTTTTTTAAAAAAAAATGCAGTTTAAAATATTAAATAAACGCTTGTTTATTTCTTACCAAATAGGCTTGCATTTCTACTCTCCTCAGCCCCAAGAGCACTTTAAGCTATGGAGGGAGTGGGACTAGGGCTGGTGGTGACACTGGTGACTCCAAACACGGACCTTTCAATATCACTGTCCAAACTGTAAAAAGAAACTGACTTGGGGCTGGGTTGTGGCTCAGTGGCAGAGCACTGGCCTAGCACATGTGGGGCACTGGGTTCGATTCTCAGCACCGCATATAAATAAATAAAAAATAGAGGTGTATGAACAACCAAAAAAGAAAAAAATGGCTTTAACCCATAGTGCTCATTCCCTTACCTGGGGTAAATATTGTGTACATTTCCTCATGTCTGTGAACCAAAAGATGTACACTATTAAAATGAAAAAAACAATGCTCTAATCAGTTTTTTTATTTTTTAGCAGGCTTCATTCCATAACCTGAAAGAAAACCAGGGACATGTACTCAATGCTGGAGGACTGAAGTGACTGATTCTGTGATCTCAGCCCACCCGTGGTCAGATAAAGACAAAGATTGGCGACTGCAAGCAAATACGCTGAATTCTAAGGTTTTTACCGGTGAGAAGTAGCCCTCGAGTTTTTTCCAGATCCGATGGCAACATAGCTGCTTCCAGAAATGAAATTAATCATGACATTTTTAGGGATTAATTAGAATCAAATTGATAGAGAACATGGAATAATAACCTTTGATAAAATGCCGAGGGACGTTGAAATGGGAGCCCTAGGAACCGGGAGGGACAGGTACCTAGTGCATTTGCACAATCTTAGATTCTCCCTTGAGTATGTTTTACCTTTGCCATAAATGAAAACATTTAAATTTCTTTAAAATTACATTTAACTTAATTATACCCCGGCCCTGATACCGGTAAGCCCCCCATTTTGCCTGCTTTTCTGTCGGATGGAAGCGACCGGGCTCATCATTTCATAAAGACTTGTTTTTCTACAGGATGTTCGCTATGTGCAGAATGTTAATAGCCGGCGGAATATGAATAGGCTCTGTGGCTCCACTTGAAATATAGAAAAATGGGCCAGACATTAAAAAAGATAAAAGGGAAAAGGGCAGTAATGAATTTAGAGGAAAATGAACATTAATGGTACTAGCATTACTCATGTTCCACATAACAAATTATTGGAAATCTGTCAAGCACACCAAATTATCTACTCGTCGGCTGCTGCGGGGCCCTCTGCAGCCATCCCAAACCAGCAAAAGCAAGACAATTTAAGCTAATTTTACTATTTATAACAATAGAACAGGCCATTAAGATAAATTAATGTCATTATCAAGTTTCTATGAAAATGACAAATACCACTATTTCGAGCAGCTTAGAGGCTGTTGACTATAATGAAATCCGCTGCACAGGTACTAAAGAGAAACACTCCAAGTAATTATTTTCTAGTAGCCTGTTTGTTTCCTGACCATTCATTTGCTTTCACCACAATTAGTTCTGTACACAATATGGTGGTAACTAAACAGTCAACACTACGCAGCATTAGGACTAATTGGGCCATTAGGACGCAGTTTCTAGCCTTTTCCTTCCTAAAGAGAGCTGGGAGTAAACAGAGCAGAGCAACAATGCGGGCACCATGCCGGCGGGGATTGTCTTAATTTAAAGGAGATCCAAACAGGATAATAAACTAGACAGGTGGAAAGCTTTGCGTGGAACCCCCTCGGATCAGCCGGACAGTCACAAACTGAACCCTGCTGGAGCGTGTCCCCACACTTGGGGCCACCACACTGGGGGAGACCCAGAAGCAGCAAAACCCTGGGCGTGGGGGCCCTGCCATGCAGAGGGGCCAGGAATTCCTGTCTGGTTCAAACCTGGAAACTCTTCTCCCCCTGCCAGAGGCGACAACAAGTCATTCAAAGCCTGGCCGTGAAAAACCCCATCTCCCTAATGGGTCTGTGCCGTCGGTGGCCTCTGGGTCATCATCTAGGATCACATTATATTCAGCAGCTATCTGCAGAGATGTCAGTTTGTCCTAAGTCCGACATCAATGGGAAAGAATTGTCCCTGACCAGCTTGTGCATGATCCATAGCAAGAAGAAGCAGTCAGAGGATCATGGTCCCCTGAGGTCCTCACGGCAGGAAGTAAGCTGTGAATTTTGCACTAGGCAGCAACTGTAGCAGTGTTTATATGCTTCATTAATAAGGGCTGGGATTCGTTAGGCCCCTCAGGGTGGCTCTCCGTGCTTCCAGGGCCACGCTACCCTCCATCACAGGGGATGCGAGCAGCAGCTCTGTGTTACCATTTGAAGCTGCCCGTTGGCCAGTCTCACCCATCTTTCCCCTCTTCCAGCTGAGACGAGGGTGTGGGTGATGGGCCCTGTCTTGGGGTAGCCCACGGACTCTCAGGAGATATGAAACACAAGCACCCATGTTAGATCTCCAAAGACCGTGGAGCGCATAGGGAGATAAAACAGCAACAGAATACCAAGAAGAGGCAAATCAAAAATCAAAAAACAAAGGCCCAACGGGGAACAGGTAGCCGTGGTGCATGAGAGACACCTCCGGGAGCCATTATGCAAGACCTCAGAGTGGAACCCACTTTATAATGTGAGGTCAGCCCAGGTGCAGAACATGCAGTCAGCTGAAGGGGCTTTAAAGATGGATTCTTCAGGGGGATGACTAAGAACAGAGGATCAAAGACGCACCTTTGACTTGCTCCCCTGAATCCTCCCCAGCAGCCCCCAGCTCTCTCCCCAGGAGGCTCTCTTGCTCTGCACATTCAGCCCCTGCAGACCTGCGTCTGCACAGACCTGTGTACAGCTGGGAGAGCAAAACCAGGCTCCTCCAGGAAAAGTCGTTTTTCCTGCCTTCTGGAGCCTCTGAGGCCCTAAAGAGAAATGAAGTGGCCCTCAGTATCCCCTCAAATCCACACCACAGCCCTGCCTCCAAGTCCCTTCCTGCCTCTGCCATTCCCCATCACACAGGTCCTATCGCTCACCCCGGCGACCGCAGCCATAGTGCACTCTACGGAAGGCAGGCAGGAGGTCTGCTTTCCTTCTCATCCTCCACAGCACCTGGAACAGAGTTAGCATTCCGTAGGTAAATGCTCCTTCACAGAGCAGGGCTGTGGGCTTTCTGACAGTAGTGACCTGGGAAGAGGTGAAATGCAGGCCCCCACGATGCAGGGAGGAGACAGTGGGCTTCCTGAGAATGCTGATCCCCTGCTCTTGTCAGCTTAGGAAGAGCTATTTGAGAAGTGACCCGTCTTTGATTCTGCAGCCTCTGCCACTGTGCTATTTGTTGATTCGGAAGCTAAGGATTCTCAAGGACTTGTGTTTGTCCCCACTACCCAGATTGGGATACTCAGGGATTCTGGGTGCGGGGCCTGCCTGCCTCTATCCCAGGAGCCTCCTGGGATAACTTCAAAAGTCTCCTGGCTCTGTGCCCGCCCAGATGGGCCATCCAATTAGTAAAATTACTACTAATGGTTTTTAAAGACAGGATTTCTGGGCAAAATATATGGTTCAGTAATTATATCTACCATCTAAATGATGATGATCATCGTGACAAACCTTAACCCCACAGAGTTCAAAGCACTCTAAATAATTACATTAATTATTCTCAAACTTTCCCCAAGGGGCGGACTATTTCATTAAGCCTGCTTCCAGATGAGGAAGCCGAATGATCCAACAGCCAAAGTCCAGGGAATGGGCTGGAAGCTGCTTCCGCACAAGTAACTCCTGAGAATTTCTGCTGAGGGCATGTCTGCTCTTTCATGCGTCAGGGCCAAAGGGCCTGGTTGGGCCTTGGTGGCTTCCCTGGGCTGGGGAGGCAGTGAATTTGCCACCTGTGAGCCTTGCAGAGGCCTGGACTTGGGCTGAGTGGAGCGACGGCTTCCCATGTCTAATCTCAGGGGCAGGCCGAGGAAATCATATGGCACCCGACTTCTTGTGCTCTTATTTAGGCCAAGGTTAAGTGCAGTGATGTGTTTATTTCTGAGCTTTCTTACTGTGAGGCAGGCTTCCTTATGTGAAAAAAAAGGAAGATCACACAATTCAAAAACTATGCCCAGACTTTGGTAAGCCTGGTGGATGCAGAGGTGGACTTGGAATTAGTTCCACCTGCCTGAGGGGCTCTGTGCTGTGCTCCCAGGAGCCTTAAGGGTCCTCCTTCAGCAAGTGCAAGTTTACAGAATCCTGGCCCCACCACCTCCCATCCTTTGACCTTGGACCAGCTTCATAAACCTGCTGGGCCTCAGCTTCCCCATCCATGAAATGGGGTTGAGCATAACCCTATTTGATCATTGCAAATATTAAGATAAATTAGTTCCCATTCCACAACCAGCACAGAACCTCTTTGACCCCGTCTGGTTGATTTCACAGCTTCCAGTGCTGCACTAGCCGATTACTGGCTGTAACAACCTCATTCTGCAAAAATCACACTGGCTTTTACAGGTCTTTACGGGAAGGAAATAGGCTAATGCACTGTTTTCCCATGTATGTCAGTAGCCCAATCTCTCTCTAATGGGCTCAAATTGCAGTTTTAAAACCTAAACCATGAACTTAAACTCTCTCGCAGACATGTGCAGGAGAGAAATCCTTACTTCTTATGCTTCTAGTGCAAAAAAAAAAAAGACAGAGAAAAACATGTGGCCTGCCTTCCTCTGAACAACAGACTGCAAAAAGAGGCGTAGCAAAGTGACTGTGACCTCAATAGAACTTTTCCTGCTAAAAGGTGAGTTGAGAGGGAAATTCGGGAAAACCTCCTGATTTCAGAGTGTGTAACAGGTTTGAAAACTGTCAGTCTCCCCTTTGACATTCTTGGCAAGCCCCCGTTCTACCACAAACCCAATCTTGCTGCCTCAAGAAATTTAGAGCAGAGCCTTAGAATGGGGCCAAGGGTCAGGGGCTCCAACTCCGTTCGCTGCAGACAACTGACCTGTATCACCCTCCTGTCTGATCCAGGCTACTTTTTGAACACTGCTGCCATATTCCCACAGCAGACGCCCAGGCCCTCTGAGCTGCTTGGATTGGTGCTGCTGTTAAGGACATTGCCTTCAATCAACAAGTTCTAGCCAAGAAATCGGTACATGTTGCAGAACAGTACATGGGCATCATTTAACCGGAGACCTATAGCGGTTCTATGAGGTAGACACTACACCCAATTCTATAATTGAGGAAATAGACTTTGATATGGTCAGTTACTTGTCCAGAGTCTCACAATTGGTGAGTGGCAGGGACAAGACCGCAGCCAGGGCATATTGACTTCGGAAGTCACACTCTCTCTCTACTGTCCACAGCCTTCATCCTGGCTGGATTCTGGTCCTGCCCTCTGATAGACTGACCTACCCCATTAACATCCAATGCCCATCATGAAAAACACAGATGTATTGGCTAGACAAAGCAAGAGGAACTCGTCACCCAAACCATGTACTGTATCATTTTACGTGCTCTCCATGAACAAAATAAACTTTTCTTCTTTGTAGTTGATTATCTCAGGCATTTTGTTACAGTAATAAAAACCTGCTCTCTGCTGTTAAACTACATGTTCCATGGGGACAAGAAGGGCATCCACTTTCCTTATTATTCTATCCTCAGCACAATTGCCTTGTACAAAGATGTGACTAGTTAAAGGTCTGTGAAAGGAATAAATGAGTTACTAAAGAGAGAAAAAAAACACTGGTTGGGAACACTCATGGAGTCATGGACAGGATTTCTACATTTCCCCTGGTATTTTTTTAACATTATCCAGGAGTAGAGCAGTAAATAGTTTCCCCCTTCTTATGTGTTCAGTGGACTTTCCAGAACAGACTACATAGCACATGATGAGAACCATCCGTGGTCCTTACTTTCTCATAACAGTGAAAAAGAGGGCACACCAGGTTCCTATTGGAATCTCAGAACAGGGTCCAGCTGAAATGAGGAGTAGCTTGTGAAGGGAGGTCGCCTGTGGTGTTCCTTCTCTTCTGTTCATTCTATTTCTTCTAAATTTTAGCAAGAATTTTCTAAGCACTTAAAAAAAGGAATGTCCTACTTCTGGGTTAGCTTTCTAGTACTGTAACAAAATACCTGAGGTAGTCAACTTATAATGAGAAAAACCTTATTTTGGCTCACAGTTTTGGAGGCTTTAGTCATGGGTCATTTGTTCCTGTTTGTTTTGGAGCCTGTGGTGAAGCAGCATATCATGATGGGAGGATCTGTAGAAACAAAGCCAGGTAGTGAAAAAGAGGGAGAGAGAGGAGGGGGCTGGGGTCCCATATTCCCTTCAAGGGCATACCCCCAATAACTGGGAAACCTCTCACTAGGCCCTACCCCTTAATAATTCTACCACTTCCCAATAGTGCCACCTGCAGGGGACCAAGCCTTTAACCTATGGACCCTTGGGGGACACCTCTCTAACACACAGCAACTCCCAATAGTCAATTTCAGGGGGTGGAATGCCTCCTCTCCGCTCATTTATAAGATGAGGTGTGGTTTGCTATTGTCCTGCTTTCCCAAGACCCACAGAGTAGAAGGGAGCCTCCAGCAGACACATCCATTGCACACGTGTCCTGATGTGGCGATGCTGATTCTCTTACTTTGCTAAGTCTTTTCCGCTTGTTTATTCCAAAGACTTAGTGCCGTGGTTCAGATGCGATTCGTGTCCACTGAAACTCGTGTTGAAGTTTGATTACCCAAAGTGATGGTGCTGGGAGATGGTGGGGCCTAGCGGGAAGGGTTCATGGGGGTGGAGCCCTCGGGAAAGGCCTAATGCCCTTCTCATGTGGCTTCTTGCTGGATTAGTTACCCAAGAGTAGCTTGTTGTGAAGGGAGGTTGCCGATTGTGTAATGCTTCTCTTCTGCAAGCATCTGCTCGCCCTTCCATTTTTTTTTTTTTTTTCCTATGATGTTAGTAACAGCACAAGGTTCTCACTAGAAGCTGAGTGGAGATGGTGCCTTGCTCTTCAGAATCCCAGCCTTCGGAGGAAAAATAAAATTTTTTCCTTTATATGTCACCCAGTCTCAAGCGTTCTGTTAAAGCAACAGAAAACAGGGTACGACAACTAGAATCCAGCCAAGTCTGAAGCCATGATGGCTGGGTATTAATGCCCAGGTCCCAGAAGCAAGTGTACCATGAGGTTGGCAAGGAAAAAAAACAAGCAGGAAAATCTCCACTCCTTCTTGGACCACAGTGACCTTGTGCTTTCTTCTGCAGGTTAAAAGCTGGGCCTGGGCTTCATTTTGCTATATCCACTGGTTTTCAGCAAGTCCTCTAAACCTTCTAGGCCTGGGTTTTCTCATCTGGGTGATAAATGCTTGATAATCCCAAATTCTATTCCAGTTCTTTAAAAAATTAAAAAAAAAAAACACATGATTTCACAGATTGGTTGTGCTGGATTCAGAACCTATTTATCAGAAGGTAACATTTGAGTCCCTTAGTTCCTAATCATTATGTGAGAAATGGTTCACCTCCCCTCAAGAGATGTCCCACCAGGACCAGCAGGGTGGGATCTGTTCTGAGGATCACATAGTATCAACATGGACTTATGAGATACAGGACGGTGACTCCAAGTGTGGCAGGAGTTGGACCAGGTGCCCAGGGAGAGCTTGTCCCCCACCCCTTTTCCTGAGCAATAGCAACAGTCGTGGAGCACTTTTCCAATCTGATTCTTGAAACATTGATAGGGGCCAAGCCATTTCCATCTAACCGGGATTTTCCAATCAGTTTGGGTCCAGCTAATAGATTTGCTAAATTAAGATTTCATTGTCAAGATATTAATTGCGATGAAGTCTGACCTAAGGGGATTTTTAAGGCTTATCGATCTAGAGCAGTTGAATGTTATGGCAGTTATCAATTCCCACTAGGTGTGCTCAGGAAGGTGCTTACTAAGTGCTGAGGAGAAAACCAGTTTGGAAGCCCTGGAAACGTGCTTGGAAACTGGCGTCCGGGTTCTCACTTTGGCCTTGGCTCACCTGTCTCGGAAGTAGGAAGATAAACTCGACCCAGAGAGGAATTCACCTGCTCCCGTCGCTCCCTGTCACTAGAGAGGTTTTAAAATGTCCGTGACCACCTACCAGCAAATCCTGTCTCAAAGAAGCAATGAATTGGAGGTGCTCCCCTTTCTAGAAGACATTCTCTTTAAAACGGTGACCATGTTCCAGCCCTTTCTAGCTGCTCAGAGAGATGCAAGATAAAGGCACTGGGGCTTTCCTTGAGATTGGAGATGGAGAAAGTCAGCCCACAGAAGGGGGGAGACCACCCCCCTCGTCCTGCGGGAGCGGGGGGGGGGGGGTCCTCCCATTTCAGGACAATGGAAGCAACAAAGAGCCTCAGAATGGTACGGAGGCAGAGAAGGAGGTTAGAGTTCTCAGATTGTGGAGAGATGAATAATACATTGGAAAGCAAACACAAGCATTATTTCTCTTCTAATCAGGATCATGAGGCATTTTACAAATTAACCACTTTCCTCCAACACTTACCATATTGAGTGGCTCTAGGTACAGCCATCAGGGCGGACTCTGCCATCTGCATTTAGAAAATTGCCTATACATTTATTAAAGTGAAATTCACCCATTAATTAATGCTGTTCTCCCTGAAGACTCTCATTAGCACATTGAGCTAATTACTGAAACCACAGGCCCGAGGGTGGTTGGTGTTTTTTTTTTTCCCCCTCGATTGCAGCAAAATGTGCTCCAGCCTTACATTTATAGGGTTTGAAAAGAGAAACCACAGAGTCCGAACCACCGTAGGAAGCAGGAATGGGATCAACCCGCAGACCACTCTTCCCACTGCTTCTCCCTTCTCCATGGGAGGCCTGGGCAGCTGCTCTTCCAGCCAGAGACCTTTCCAGCCAAGATGGGCCCTGCCTAGTCAGCACTGCAGTGTGCACGAGGAGGTGAATTTGGAAGAAGACACAGTCGTGTGGGTTTAGCGGGTCCTGACAGACATTTTATTACCTCTTCTCCCCCCGCCCCATCCACGTGGCTCCCACATGTCCTTTTCTTTTCTTTCTTTTTTTTTTTGGTGCCAGGGATCGAATTCAGGAGCACTCAACCACGGAGCCACATCCCCAGCCCTATTTTGTATTTTATTTAGAGACAGGGTCTCCCTGAGTTGCTTAGCGCCTCACTAAATTGCCGAGGCTGGCTTTGAACTCATGATCCTCCTGCCTCAGCCTCTCTCCAGGCATGGGCCACACACCCAGCTCCACAGGTCCTTCTCATCCAGCAGAAAACAAGGAGATTCCAACCAGTAAAAGTGGTTGGATGTATTTCTAAGGCTTTCATTTCAAACCATCTCAAACTGTCCAGGAGAAGGGGGCTTAGCACCTAAGGCAGGGGAAAGGATTGTGGGACAGACCGTGCCCAGGAAGCACAACCCTACCCCACGTTGTTCCTTAATGAGTCTTTGGTGTTTGTTTTTAAGATAATTACTTTCTTTTTCTTTCTTTTTTTTTTTTTTTGAGAGAGAGAGAGAGAGAGAGAGAGAGAGAGAGAGAGAGAATTTTTAATATTTATTTTTTAGTTTTCGGCGGACACAACATCTTTGTTGGTATGTGGTGCTGAGGATCGAACCCGGGCCGCACGCGTGCCAGGAGAGCGCGCTACCGCTTGAGCCACATCCCCAGCCCCAGTCTCTGGTGTTTTAAAGAAGCCTTTTGTTTTTGTTTTCAATAAAGAATAATTTAAGTGCTGGGGATATAGCTTGGTTGGTAGAGTGAGTGTTTGCCTCACATGCACAAGGTCATGGGTTCAATTCCCAGCACCAAAAAAAAAAAAAAAGAATGATTTTAAATAAATCCTCAAAGTTAAGAATCATTTAAAATGTGTATTATGTGACAACGGTCGATCTTATCAAAGCATACCTATGTTTAGCTAAGGTAAGAACAGGAAAATCAAAGACGTGGATTTGGACTGAAGGGGCGACTCTGTGGTGGAGTGCTCCCTTACCATGTGGGAGGCCCTGGGTTCGACCCCTACCACCATTAAAAAAAGGAAGAGGTGGATTCATTGCAGCAGTGTTAGGATGCGTTTTCTCTCCTGCACATTCACAAGTGATGTGTTGAGGTCTCTATGGTCGACCCGACATGTTGGCTGGCCTCCAGGTCCAGCCCAGCAGACCTTGCAGAGATGCTGAGGGTGGTAGACTGAAGGGCGGTTCCCAGGACGTCCACCTTCCCATCCCCAGGACCGCCAGTGCTGCTTCATGTAAGGACTTCGTGGATGTGACTGAGGATTTGAGATGAGAAGAGGTCCTAGTTTCTCCCGGTGTGCCTTGTTAATCACTGTGTCTTGTAAGGGAGGCAGAGATTAGATCTCAGAAGTGGGTGTAGTAATGGAAGCAAGAGTTTATGCGGATGTGAGGCAGGGGTCCCCGGCTGGAGAATTCAGGTGGGCTCTGGAAGCTGGAAAAGGTAAAGAAATGGCATTTCCCCTAGAGTAATGAGAAAACAAAACAAAATCCCAGCCCCAGACACTTGGATTTTAGCTGAGCAAAACTGATTTTGAAC